ACTTCCCATCTGGTTGACCCCATCCCTATATTCTCTTTGCTTTATATAGGTATATGGGCAATTTTCTTAGAGGAACCCAGTAACTATAGGTGATTCTCATTATTTTTTAAGCCATTGTGTCACTGAATTACAAGGTGAACTTAACAGGTTAGTTTCAGTTAAGGATCTGAAGAATAATCTCAGTAATATTCTTGATGAGTCCTCCCATCTCAGCCAGTTTGTTGATTTTTATTTTATAAAAGAATTTGAGCTTTGGTTCCATATTTTTCTTCGATTTATTGTGGCCTTGATTAGAATTGTCAGAAGTGGTGGTAGCTGGGTCCCATCTAGTTCTTCTGGTCACAGGGTAGATGAGGCTGTGGTTTGTATAGGCGTTTTATCCTGTAAACTAATTTCTTCTCTGGATGTCTAGGTTTCTTCTTTCACTTTTGTTTTGGATGAATAGAGACCAATAATTGTATTTTGTTAAGATAGCATGTGCAAGCTTTTAAGATTACAGACATGATTCAACAAACTAGGACTCAGAACTTAATTTAGTTTTTAAAAGATCTACCTGGCTGATTGTTCTGAAGACCAATTTATAGGCTTCTGTAAGACTCCACGCAAGAGATGGTGGTACATAGTGGAGTGGGGACTGTGGAAATGATGAGAATGGTTAGATTTTGATCAGAGTTTGAAGGCAGAGAGCTGAAAAGTTTTGGAGTCCATCTGGGTTGTGGGGCAAAGAAAAGTTATGTATTCTAGGGATGAAGAATGCTAGGAGAGGATTTGGACACAGAGTACACAGCTGTATTGACAAGGTGAATGACTAAATACTTTGAAAATAAGTAAATCTTTTATAAGAGAAGTATAAGAGCTTTACAAGCTGTTTAATGTCTTCTAATTCCTTTAACACTTTTTTCTCTCCTTCATGGTTTATTTAATAGTTTATGATTTATTTAACTGCTCATGACTTATTTAGCAATTCGGTTTTAAAGTGAGAATTTCCTGTATAATCTAAAAAATGATGTTGAATACTTGTTTTTAAATATTGATAATGACAGAGATTTATTAATTAAGAAAGTGATGAGAGAAGTGTAGGCAGGGCCAATGAGCTCCAATGAGGGTTGTCATATGGGAGCATAGGGATGAAGTGTTGGATGACCAAATGCCACAGAGGTGGGGAGGGACTGTAAGACTGCTCATTCTTTTTTTTATAATTATTTTGTTGGGGGCTCATACAACCCTTCTCATAATCCATACAAACATCAATTGTATAAAGCACATTTGTACATTCATTGCCCTCATCATTCTCAAAACATTTGCTCTCTACTTAAGCCCCTGGCATCAGCTCCTCACTTTTTCCCCTCCCTCCCCGCACGCCCCTCCCTCATGAACCCTTGATAATTTATAAATTATTATTTTGCCATACCTTACATTGTCTGACGTCTCCCTTCACCCACTTTTCTGTTGTCTGTCCCCCAGGGAGGAGGTTATATGTAGATCCTTGTAATCGGTT